AAGAGACTAGGATTACCTGTCATAAAATCCGTGACACCAGAATCAATGACCCATTTTGAGGAAGATGAAAGAAGACATGTATTAGTTTACCTATCTCAGTAATGGTAAAGATAGGTTGAGATGAATTCTTTAATGCTTCTTAGTACTGAGTGAATTGAGCAAATTTATCTGCAAAAATCGTAATGGTATACTTAGAGGATGAGATGGGTGTAGCAGTTATAGCTGCAACATGAGCTGAGTGCGACTTGAGAGATTTATTGTGCAATTTTCGGCAGGTGCGTTTGGTATAGCTCGACTAATGACAGTAATTGATAAGTGTGTTTTTGCACACTTATTTAATACCTAATTATGCTTATTATTAATTAAAAAAAAGAGAATTTCTACTCACAATTATGTAATTATTGCATTTGTAGGTAAAAATCACTCGAAGGAAAGAAAACCAGACAAAATGAGGGAAAAACTAGACTAAAAATGTGAAAAATTGTAAATGTGGGGACCAATGTGAACAAAGAAAAAATATGAAGGATCTTGAGTGCAATTTATGAAGGACATAATTGATATGAAAGTCAAAATTCGAGGACCAAATTGTATAAAATCAAAGTTGAGGGACCTGACGTGCAATTACCTAGGGACTTGGCTGCAAAATTAAAACCAAAAATTGGTTTTGGACAGTGACCTGGGCGCTTAGACGCCACTGTAGCAGCGCCTACGCGCCACTTTTAAATTTTGGGGATGGTTTTAATTATTTTGTGTAATTCCAAGGACTAAAGCGTAAATTCTGAATTAATTACTAGGTTTTAAATAGACGTGCAGCTTCTTCTTCTTCCAGGCTGGTTTTCTTTTTCTTTTTCTTTATTCTTTCATTTTCTTTTCTTTTCATTTTTAATTTCTTGGTATTTTAGAGATACAAATCAAGAGCACAAAGAGAATACATTCAAGAATTTAGAGAAATATTCGGAGAAGTCATGGCCAAGCTTCAAAAAAGGATTTTATCTATCTTTGTATTTTCTCAATTATTTGACATATTTGTAATGTATTGTATAAAATATTCTTCTTTTTACCATTTGTATAAAATATGCTAATTATTTGTGTTGAGATTTATGTTAGTAACTTAACATAACTTTAATTAATTTTAATATTTGCTCTTTATTGCTAAAATGCTTATTTTCATGTGTATTTATTATTGTGTTGAATGATTTTCATTTATTTGGCCATTAAATGATTATGTTTAGTGATTTGTATATCATTCTAGAGAAGATTGTACATTTTAGACCAAATAGTAAATAATCTAGGTTTTGTATAGGGAATAGAGATATACTCCTAATCCTGGATAATCCATTAAGCTATTTTCACTAAGAATTAATGCGATTGTTTGGTTTTAATCGACATAGAGATATAATAGGTTAAACTAATTAATTATGGTTAATTACGTTCGAAAGAGGTAATTAATTAAAATTGAAAAATCGAGTCTAACATTGTAAATGAGTAATTTGTTAATTGATTTATGGAGAAATTAATTAGGTGGCGATTAAGCGAAATCATGAATCTCAACCACGTTTTTCCTCCAAAATTTTCAAGTACTTATGTTTTCTTATTTTGTAGATTTTAGTTAATTTTCCAACATCAAATTTTAGTTTGTTTTTTATTTTTATTGTTAAAATTAAATTTACTAATGTTGTGTAATAGAAAGTAAACATTCATCGAGGGATCGACAACCCGAACTCAAAAAGTATCGACAATCCGAACTCAAAAAGTCCACTTTATTACTTGAATACAACCGGTGCACTTGCGCTATATAATTTTAGCGAACAGTAATAACATACAACTCACCTTTCGATTGTCCCGACTACCTATATTTCTACCTTTTGTATGACCTCTGCGACTGATAAAAACACTAGAAGATTGAACAAATGAAGCACCAAAATCACTAGTATATGTACGAAGTATTCTAGTAAATGTCTCTTGCAGAGAAGAAATCTCAGCACAGAAGAGAATATGGGATTTAGCAGTTTCAAACTGAAAATGAAGACCAACTAGAAAACTCATCACGATCATTTGCTCCCGTTGAGCTTGTTGAACTTTCACATTAAGGCTAAAATGTAACAAGACATTCAATTCTTTATAGGTCTTCTTGAAATTCATAAAATAAGCATGAAAAGACTGATCTTGTTGTTCAGCACGGTAAAAACCCTTACAGACGTCATAAATATGTGACACATTCCTTTCGTGGAGTACATAAATTCTAAATATTCCATCAATTCCTTAACATACTCACAATGATTAATCAAACTGACTATCTCAGTGTCAATGGAATTCCGAATTTGTAAAAATAATCGGGCATCATCTCTTAGACATGTTTGGCTAGTATTATCTATTGGCGGATCTTCAGTAAGATGATCGGCCATAGAGATACTCTGCAAATAAATCCGAATTCTCTTACACCAATCTAAATAATTTGGACCAACCAACTTATATTATGTGATTTTGGACATCACTGGAATGACATCGATCACAACTAAATTCTTTGCTCGTTGGCGATAGAAATACAATACAATATCTAAACAACACCCCCACAAGTATCCAAGTAAACTAATTCCCCACACAATAGTCAACACAAAGGTCCAACAAGCCCAATAACCAAAGTAATCCACCAAATAATTCAGGCCCAATAACAAACTCTGCAAACCCAATAAGCAGATTAATCACAAAAATTCGGGCCCAATAAAACCCAAGTCCAAACAAAATTATATTCCGAGTGGACGAGCAATCCTCCTTCACGATCCTCTTCCACGTTGATGGCACCAGACGATCAACGACGAACCTGCCAACAACAATAAGTCTCGACAGTTCTCAAAATTTCGATCACCAGCCACAGTCCACGGTCACCGTGGATCCAAGAAGCGAGCCAAAATCTGCTCACAACTGCACAACCCTCGACCGTTGCGCTTGACATAGATGATGCCGACCAGAGATGGGTTGACCTAGAATACTAACGGTGATTACCCAAGAGCAAGAACACTCCAAACAAATCTTAACATCGAAAATCAGAGACGGAGCTAGAAAAGGGAAACGAAGGTAACCTAAGCCTCAAGTATTACCATGTAATGAAGAGAGAATAATTTGATATCTTTATTCATAGGAGAAGATACATATATATACATATTGAGAAATCTAAATTAGGAAGAATGAATCCCTATAATTAAGCCTCTATATAATTATTTACACTTAACACTATTTAAGTGGACATTCATTCCTGGAGTTGATTTAGGAGGCAAGGGTCGATGAGTTTGCAAATTTTCCTGAATGCCGCCATCTGTTGATTTCACTGGCATCGATAGCTGAGATCTTGTTTGCCTCGTGATGATTCCATCTCAATTTCAGTCCAATACTTCTCTTGATCCTTTCGCAAATTAATTGTAGAGAAATTTTGAAAGATTGATCGAGGAAGAACAGCATTATGGACATGTACCCACCCGTTGTAGGCCTCCTTGATGTGTGACATTCTCAAATGGTACAACTGGCCCTACCACTCTTCCCAGCTTGGCTGCACGGAAAAGGCATATGAAAAATGGGAAGGCACCATATTGCAAAACATTAATCAACTGAATTGATAAATATAAATAACAGAATAAACAACAATATGTATAATTTACATCTTTAATTACTACAATTTCAAAGGATCAGCAAGTAGACTACTTAAAAACTTCTACAGTAGTCAGAATTCAACGAATATTTTTCGAGGTTACTTGATCCATTATCCTATCAATATATGATCCCCCACAATGAGAAGCATGAGATTGTAGTACATTCTTAATCTAATATTACATGGTGGGCTAGTAACAAGAACAGAAAATGAGAACGTAGAGAACATTCAATGCATTTGGCATCTGTGGTGGTGGTTGAGAGACATTCGATAGATTTCCAGAAACAACACCCGAAAAAACTCCAGTTAATACATCTTCTGTACTTCGATGATTATATAATCTAGTCATATTCGGTTGTGTCTTGGGAGGTATAGTAGTTGAACTAACAGTAGACCTGAATCAAGTCAAAACGACAAAAAACATTATTTTATATACAGGGAAACAGAAGATATTAAGAGGCCAGTTAAAGAAGTCAGAAAGACGGCAGCAGGCAGCCAAGTGATCTTGATTTTCTGAATCCTTGTTTAAGGAATTACGAAAAAATAGCTCAACGGCAGTTTAGTGGCTCGGGCACTTGTATTTGCTGAGAAATTAATCCAATTTGCCATAAGATTTTATAGCAAGTACAATGTTTATATTATTTTTTGGGTAAATTCCAGCAGGAGTCTCCAACATTCCATAAGTGTGGCACCCACGTCCTCAACCTACCATTTGTTACACCCATGTCACCAACCTTTTAAAAGGTAGCACTAATGTCCCGAGCTAACAGAATTCAATTATTTGACCAGTAAATGGCCAATCAACACATCAAGTGATGTGAAGGATGGCTTGACGCAAGGGAACATGTGTCTAAATGAAAGTTGAAGTCACCGTTTGATTTTCTTTTGGGATAAGGAAAATCTTTTTTGACAATTTTACCTTTTTAGTCTGACATCACACGAGTGTGATCAGCCATTAAACGTTCAGATAAACGTTTTTTGACAATTTTACCTTTTTAGTCTGACATCACATGAGCGTGATCGGCCATTAAACGTTCAGATAAACGTTTTCCATCACTAGGGACATGGGTGCCATAGTTTTTAATAGGACTAAAACAACAACTAAATATGGAAGCAATCAATTACAATATTAATTAATAGTAAAAGCAATCTATCTATATATAATCGTAATCTTATACGATCTCCGAAATCTTATTCAATCTTCCTTGACAAGTGCTAAAAATGCAAGTTATGGACATGGTCTCACACTTTAAGAATGGTAGAGGACCCATGATAGAACTTACACTTAAATACATTTTTAACTTAAATGCAAAGCAATGCCAGAACTTTCTAAGCTCAGAACACATTAGTTGTTTTCTCAGGAATAGACTTTAGAATCAATTGATTTTGAACGCAAATTGATATGCCATAAAATTGGCCTATAATTCCTCATGATCTCAGGAGTGCACTCAAACTCCAATTTTGAGATTGGCTGACAGGAAGGTTCCCTTTCAATTTTAGCCAGTCCCTTGAAGTAAGGATCCGCCAACACCTAATATACAGATAGACCAAAAATATGCCAAATAAATACAAGAGGAAAATATAACTGAAAAGCTCACCCAGTAATGCATGTTCTAAGTGCATGCACCTTGTGTAATGCCACTATAATTTAAGGTACAATGTACCTCTTCAGCAGTTGGTCGATCCTTTGGATCAAATGCTAATAACTTTTTCAATAAATTAAGTGATGTAGGATCTGCTTTGGGAAATTTTTCAGCAAAAGGCATTGGGTGCTTCTTCCGCATTCCTGCTAAATATTTTCTTGCCTTCTCATTGCACACCTGCATCCATGACAAAATACGACAGTTACGCAAATATCTTGGACAATATCCCTTCGTAACTAGTAAGCATGAAAATACAACGTAAAGAGGGTACTGTGGTGTACTCCAGAGATTATATCTGCTGATGGCGTCCCAAGAAGATCAGTAATCAAATCAAACTGATGCACACTTTTACCCGGAAACAATGACTTCCCTGAAAAGACCTCCACAAAAATGCAACCAATGCTCCAGATATCAATAGCAGGGGTATACTGCAAAGCAACAGATTGGCACCCGTGAGATAGATCCACAAAAACCGAAAGAAATGGTACAGCAATGAAGCCACCCGGGGAAATGTTGCGATCTGACCCAATTACCTCGAATAACAGAAATATCAACTTCTAAGAGAATTCAATAGTCCTCCCTGAACAACAATATTTTAATCTACAATTACAACCCATGTAAGGCACACTGAATACCTTCATCGTGTATTTAAATAAACATGTCAATAACATCAGCATATTTGTGGAGATATGCTATTGATCAATATCATGTGCACATAATTGCGAAACCAATGTGGGCAATGAATGAAGTCAAAGTTGTTATGATCCATAAAATAACGTACAACCATGCTCCCGACAAATTTCAGATCTAAATTGAGAGGGAAAAAGCGCTGCACTGTCTACATGATAGTTACCTTGGAGGAGAAAGATCCACACAGCTCAGGACCCCTATACCATCTCGTAGCAACGTAATCCTGCAATTTGTGACAGAAAAGTCAGAAAAAGGATAGGAGTCCAGATTCACCTTTAGAAATGAGAACTATACCTAAAATTACATCCACTTGCCATATAATAACCTCACTTCAACTGGAGTGTTCCATGATCAACACGGGGAATCAAGGAAATGAAAATGTCCGAATGGCATATACAACTCTGATCAAAGCTGAGATGAGGATAGGCAATATCTTCATCTATGAACCACCAGATTGCAATTCAATTTCTCCAGTGACGCATATCTTTTCAAGCCAATGCTGCCAAAAAAAGGACGCTGAGAAGTTACCTGTGTGCATATATTTCAGTGCTCGCAGCATCTGATAGAGAAAAAACCGGTGGTGCTCACGTGTTAAGTCATCATTAGCTTTGATGACTTGATGAAGGTCGGACTCCATAAGCTCGAAGACAACATAAATGTCTCTGAAATCCCGCCTGGAGGATGGTAGCAAGATTACCTTAATTTCAACAATATCAGATGGCGCAAAGCCCAAGCAACTTAATCTCATGCCAAATCCGGATAGCATCAGAGTTACGCTAAAAATTGTCCTTTATCTTCTTTATTGCTACATTTTCCCCGGTCTGCGTGTCAATGGCTGAAAAAACTACCCCATAGCTTCCCTTGCCAAAATTTCTAGAATTTCGTATCTGTGGCATCTCCATGCTTTGTAAAAAACTCATCTCATTGGAGCTCTGCAAAAATTAATACGTGATTAGATCAAGATGGTGTGAATAATTTTTCACCAGTGAACTGAGGTGTACAATTTGCATCTACTTGAGAATTTCAACGAGATAGAGCCTACGTTATTAACAACAGAATTCCTATAAAAAATTTCTGATACCCAAAATTAGTAGTTCATCCAGAAATACTGTAGTCATATGCCACAAATAAGGGAAAAAGGAAGCTCAATGCCTCAATCCTGTAATCATATGCCACAAATAAGCTTCTTACAAAAGAGAATAGAAAGGTAGGAATCCAAATTGCTATCACTTTGGCAGACAGAGATTCTGATGATGAATTAAAGAATATAGAACCTGCAGATTGGTCTCACATTACAATCCAGAAAGGAAAATGCTCCCAAAACACCAGTATACCATAAATAATCAGCCAGCTGGAAGCAAAAGGAAAATCCACATGACTACCAAATATATCTCCACCATCAATTAAAGTATCTATTCATAGGTAAAATTAGCAAACTTTATTCACTGGATCAAATATAAATGGAATTTCCATTTTCTAGTTTCAAGATTTCAGCTCTTTTTTTCCAAGTCCTATGAAATGAAGCCTCAAACTAGCGAATACAAAATAGACATAACCAATTCGAGGGCAAATAATTACTCAAAATTACTCAAATAAACGGTCTACGATTTTTAAGCAGAAAAAATAAAACATAAGCAGAAGTTATGAATATTACATATATTGAAGGAGAGAGAGGTGTATGGAAAAGGAGCAAAACCTTCTTCCGCTGATCCTGATGCTGCATGTTTTATTTATGCTTCTGTTTCTTGATCGGATCAGCCCAGGCCTCTGAGCAACAATTTTTTTCGATGTAAAATTGAACCAAGAAAATTATTCACTTCCCGGGCACCACTCAACCTGCAATTCTCCAAAATTCGTCCAAAAAATTTGCTTTCTGCTCAACAAAACACTGATAATTACTATAATTTGAGAATAAAAGTAATAAATCAGGTTTTGGAGATCGAAGATACGTAAAGTGACCGACAAACAGAGATTGAGAGAAGAATAAAGTTTTAACACACGTTATCGATCAATCTACTATTCCAAAATACATTTTCTACCAAAAATGGGACTGCACTTAATTATTTGTTGTTTGGCCAGTGGGCAGTGGTCATAATCTCTCTTCAAGGGTCTTGGGAGTTTTGAGCAGCGGTTACAAGCGTTTTTTAAAGTATTCATTCTGAGCGTTTAAAAAGGCTCAATTTTGAGTGATTTTTAAAAATAATCCAACCCGGGTTTATTATCCACCGGTTCTGAAGTTTTTTTTAAAAGAATAAAATTATATATGTGCCTCTTATAGTGAAATTTTTAGTTTATAGTTTATTGTATGATTTTCTTATTCATAAGTGATATTTTACTCATAGATATTTTTTTACATGTACGTTAATATTTACTTACAATTTTAAGTTAATATTTTTTACTTAGAAGTAAATTCTACAATTATAAGTTAATTATGTTCTTTTAAATAATTTTACACATAAGTGAATTTTTTACTTACAAGTAACTTTTATATTTTATAAGTTAATTTTTTATCCTATTAATGTTACAAAAAAAACTAACAAGCGCAGGTTCTTCCAACCCCTCATAAATGGTGCCACTCAAACCAGTCAAAACCAGTGAAAAAGGAAAACTCCGAAGCATGCCCTAATTCTTTCTTTTATTTTGTATTTCGACCCTTGTGTTTTTGAAACGTGCATTTTGAAGCTTATCATGTTTCAAAATAACTATTCAACTCTCTAATAAGATTTCCCAAATCACACCGGCAGTCAACACAATTAGTCGTTAAGTCACCAATCACAATCAACTCAAGTACCATTTTTGCTAATGGTAACATTGCCCTACAATTGAGCTCCATCATGCCCCTGATCTTCAGATAGCAGGCAGCCGACAAATAAAGGCAACTACTATTAAATTAGGTTTGGCACAATGCATACACTAACTTTATGCTGCTTTCTTATCTCTGTGTGGGATATTTTCAAGGAGTTTTATTTAAGGATGCACATTGAGAGGCAATTAATGTGGCAAAATTCTCTTAGTCATTGTGTTCTGAAAGTAGAATTTCCGAAAGGTAAAATAGAGCTGGCTGTTTCTCTATTCCAGGTTGGTTTCAGTTAATTTTGTATGCATTGTTGGTTATATCTTTCTCCCCCAATTATACTTATTAATGCTTGTTACAAGCTTGAATGTGGTAATGTTAGTGTTTTTGTCTGTCCATTCTTTGTCGCAGACTGTTGTGTCTAGACATTTACAGCTTCCACATAATCTTTTATTTAACATATTTTTTAGATGTCAATCAATTCATGTATGGTTTAAAAATTAGTGTGTAGATTACCTTGTTGAATTTTAGGAGAGTGTCAAAATCAACAAACATATCATTGAAGGTCCTGAGATCTTCAGCAGTAAGAGCAACCTCATCAGGAACATGTGCAACAATTGAAAAACCTGCAAAACCCTCGATGTTCTGGTCAACAACAGCAACTGAAGAACCTACATCACCCTCAATATTCCTGTTAGCAGCAGCAATTTGTTTAATGATAGTAAAGGCAAAACTAAAGAACCAGCATCATCAACGACACCCTACTTTTCTTAGCGTCGATTTCATTAACAAACCACTTAATGTGCAATATGTAAATTAATTTTTTTTATAACCGTGGATGTCCTGACCAGCTTGCGCGCACCTCGACTAATCTCACGGACCCTGAAATGTACGGCTGGTAGTCACCTTAGTGGCCCTGAAGAGATTCGAACTGGTGACCATTAGGGAGCAAACGCAAACCCAAGGCCTGACCAATCCCTCAAGATTTGTAAATTTAAATTATTAACTAAATATTCCATTGGAATTAAAAGTATAATATAAAAATAATCAAAAGGTAATCGTTACTAGTCTAAATTAGAGTCCCTGCAAGAATTTATTCACTTGAAAAACAAAATTTGAGAAATAATATATTTTCTGCTCTATTCTTCAATGTATCTGGACATATATATAGGTAGGTTAATAGTATAATCAAGTTATTGTTTCTACAATTAAGCTATATGATGAGTCGTCCACATCAAATCAAGTTATATGACGAATCTATACACACCTAAGGTATAGCTATATTCTCTCTAGAATAGGAAAAAATCACAAGGATAATTGCAAGAATATTTAACTTCCAATCTTATATTTCAAAAATTTGTACCAATAATCTAACTAAATAGAATTAAAAAGAGAGAGATACACTATACCGAGAACAAATCGTAGATCCTTTTGAGCAAATTCCTTATATTCATAGTACAGTACATCTAAGTTTTCAACTGCAGATTCAAAATACACTATACCGAGAACAAATCGCATAGATCATTTCGAACAAATTCCTCGTATTCATAGTTCAGTATATTTGTCTAAAAATTCAAAATTTGTAGCTGTAGCATTTGCCTTGACATGATTTTTCACGTACCTCACAACACGTGACGCGATCTTTGTAAGAAATGGAACTCGAATCGTGTTTGTCTGGTTCAATTTCAGTGTAGCGGTGATCCTTGGTGAGAGGAATGCGAATTCCTTTCTCGTATGCACTTTCTCGTGATTTGAACACTTGATTTTGATCATCATTTTTCCCAGAAGCTAGAGAATAAGAGAGGAAATTTAAGCGAGAATGAGCCGAGAAAGTGCATACGAGAAAAATGCATACGATCAAATTTCCTCTCTTATTTCTCTAGCTTCTGGGAAAAATGATTGACAAACACGATTCGAGTTCCATTTCTTACAAAGATCGCGTCACGTGTTGTGAGGTACGTGAAAAATCATGTCAAGGCAAATGCTACAGCTACAAATTTTGAATTTTTAGACAAATATACTGAACTATGAATACGAGCAATTTGCTTGAAATGATCTATACGATTTGTTCTCAGTATAGTGTATTTTGAATCTGCAGTTGAAGACTTAGATGTAATGTACTATAAATGAGGAATTTGCTCGGAAGGATCCATACGATTTGTTCTCGGTATAGTGTATCTCTCTTTTTTTAAATTTTATTTAGTTAGATTACCGGTACAGATTCTTGAAATATTAGATTGGAAGTCAAATATTCTTGCAATTATCCTTGTGATTATTTTCTATTCTAGAGAGAATAGCTATTCCTTAGTGTGTATAGATTTGTCATATAGCTTCATTTGTTGTGGATGTACCTTAGATGTGGATAGATTCATCATATAGCTTAATTAGCTTAATTGTAGAAACAATAGCTTGATTCATTGAAGAATGGAGCAGAAAAAATATTCTTTCTCAAACTTTGTTTTTCAAGTGAATTAATCCCTGCAGTGATTCTAGCTTGGACTAGTAACAATTACCCTTTGATCATTTTCATATTATGTTTTTAATTCCAATAGAATATTTAGTTAATAATTTAGATTTAAATTTACATATAGCACGTTAAGTGCGTTATTGATGAAATCGACGCTAAGAAGCAAGGTGCCGCTGATGATGCTGGTTCTTTAGTTTTACCCATACTATCATTGAACAAATTGTTGCTACTAACAAGAATATTGAGGGTGATGCAGGTTCTTCGGTTGCTGCCCCCGCTATCACTGAACAAGTTGTTGCTGACCAGAACATCGACGGTTCTACAGGTTCTTCAATGTTGCAACTGTCCCTGATGAGGTCACTCTTGCTGCTGAAGAGCTCAGGGCTTTCGATGATATGTTTGTTGTTGTTGACTTTAGCACTCTCCTAAAACTCAATAAGGTAATTTAAACTCTAATTTTTAAATCATTCATACCATACATGAATTGATTGAAGAATAAGGTTGAAGGAAGTAGACCTTGTCAGACTGGTCTGAATCGACACACAAAAGAATAGGGTTGAAGGAAGTGGAAGACAGACATGAAGTTTGGAGGATTAAATCTCAAAAAAGAGGGGGAGAGAGAGAGAGAGATGTTGACAATAGGAAACTGTCACATGCGTCCAACATGAATAGTGCCCCATGTTAGTCTCTTTTATATTTTTATTATTATTACTAGTCTTATACCCATGCAATGCACGGTCTCTATTATTTTTAAAGAAATATTAACATGTCGAATATTCAATATGGCTTCATCGCTTAAAGGGATTCCCATGAACCCCTCCATGAGAATAGAATGCCACATATGAAGCACATCAAAGCAGCAGACAACCTAATTACTCGAGGTGAGGCACATCATAGCAGCAGACAATCACAAGAAAAATCTAGCATGACAGGGAGCTTAGATCCACGACCTTTCAAATTGAAGATCCCACAGCAGGGCAATGAAGGATGCAACTACAAGTGCAGAAGCACAAAACCAAACCAGTGAAGCAAAACCACGAAGACATCTCGAACACAAAAATACAATATTTTTAGTAGTGTTCCATTACAATAATAGCATGTAATAGTAATATATCAATTTTCACTATAAGATCCAAACACATTTACTAAACAAGAAAAAAAAAATGGTTCATGGGTAGACCTTAAAAGGAAAAGGGAGAGAGTGAAGGATAAAGTGACAAACCTACTAGTAGTAGAGAAACTCAACCAAATGCACGAGTTGAAGCTGAGGTTGTCAACCTACTTACACAGTCGTAACTAAATCCAAGCATAGTGCAAACGCAATTTCAAAAGCTTATGGACGGATTCAAATTATTTTCAATTTTCAGTGATCATCCTGCGTCAATCCCTAATGCCATTTCTGCATGTGAGCAAAATGTGAAATGAACTAAGTAAACTGTACAATATGGTAAAATAAAAAATAGAAGCTACACGCTAAGATCTAATGATAAACAAGAAGAAAAAAGATTAAGAGCAACATCATCAGATAAGCAGCACAAGAACGTAACGGTAAGTAGTAAGTGCCATTTATGAACATGGGCGATATGAACTTCCAAGTTGGATCAAGATAACATATGTAATGACTTGAGTACAAGGATGTCCAATAAACAAACATCTGTAAAGCAAGCAGATAAAGCTACAATCCACCATTACGACAAAGTTTCTCGAACATTAAACCCACTCATTCTTCTAGCATGATCAACCACAGTTGTCTATTTCCATCCCAACCATCCTCAATATTACTTACAAAAATATTCAAGCACATATATATCTATTAAGAACTTTCAGAGAAACATGAACCCAATTTGATAACCGAAAAACAAAAATCCATTGTGATAAATGTCTTGTCCGAGTTATTAATGGGATGTAGTCAGATAAATAGGAAGCGTTGAAATAAGAAAATAAAGAATCACCCATTGGCATATTGTGCCTTATATCTTCCATGGTAAGGAGACCTACACATCTTCGCTGGAGATCCACTGTTTGAAGCTGCAGCTCCTCTTGGTAGCGCTCTGACTCTGAGGGCTAAGTTAGTTGTTACAGTAAGTTTGTAAATCAATTTGTGTTGTCAGTTCCAGCAAGAAAAAAGAAAGGGTGTTACCAAAAACCTAGGAACTTAATGTACATTACCTTCTACCATAGCTTGGGCTCATACAATATATGTGGGGAATGAGACTCATACACCTTCAAAAACCTCCATTGTTCTTGCACTCATGGGCAAAATGTCCTGGCGCACCACACTCATAGCATTTTAAATCGAACCAAAATGGCCACACCCCCTACCACGGCCACCACCACCACCACAACTTCCACCCCTAGAATTGTAAAAGAGCTCCTCTCCAGCCATTTTTACATGTTCCAATTAGTAAGGATATGATTTCTGGTATATTACATAAGAAAGTTAACATCGCAATGTTGATTTTAGAAAATGTAATATAACAAGATAACTAAAAAATCTCACTCCAACAGAATTAACATTTCAATATTGAATGAACATGCGAGGTTGTATATAATTTTGATATATCTACTAGAATTTTTTTTTTCTCTAACGCTCACCAGACCACTTTAATGGAGACCCTCTCATGTAACTCTGGAAAACATGGATGTAATGCAAATGTCGGCATCCTGATGTTCTACTTGTGAAGATTCATGTTGAAAGACCAATAATAATATATTTTCTTTAAATACATGAAATTTTATCACTATTAGCCTCATTCTAATAGGATGACGGTCAATTTTCTACACCATGGCTAAGTCCCACTGTGCACTGGTAAAAATGTGAAACAGCTAAGTGTCCTTGAATTGGTATTGCAGAAGTATAATAGAGTAGATTTCAACTGTTTTACCATCTAGCTCTCGTATAGCATCTTGAGCATCCCTTCATCAAAATCAATGAAAGCATAGGGGGTCTTCTTGCAACCCAGACACTAAAAGAATCATTAAAATTTAAAATCGCTGTACCACCACCGAGCGAAGACATCCACCGCCGCATCGAAGACCCACAACACCTCCACCATACACCCACTACTACGCCACCGCAAAATCACAACCAAAAAAGCAGTCTGATGTTCATTCTCTGTCGGGCGAAGACCTCCACCGCACACACCGCCGCATCGAAGACCCACAACACCTCCACTGCCCGCTACAGCCACACAGCGTCGCGACACTGCTATGGGTCGCAGCAGCGCGAGACGCTGCTGCGATTAGCAGCGTGTCGCTGCTAATCGCAGCAGGGGGAGGGAAGAGTAGGGAGGGGGCAGCGGGCGGTGGTGATGGGAGGAGGAGGCAGGGAGTGAGGGAGAAGGGAAGGAGGCAACGCCGGCAAGGAGAGCGAAGGGGAGGAGGAGGCGGTCGTTGGTGGTGGGAGAAGAGAATGGAGCAGGCGGCGCATGGAGAGAGGTGACGGAGAAATTGGTAGATTTAGGGTTTGAATAGATTAAAATGATAAAAACCTGAAAAATGGAAAAATAAAGTGAAACCTGATTTTTTTAAAACTCAAACTAAATGCTTGGTTTTTGGTAATTTTCTCATTTTAAAAACAGCCTGTTATCAAAAAAAGAAAAAAAAAAGTGGGCCAGGGCCAATTATTTGGCCCAAGCTATATGATAGAAATATAACCAATTTATTACAAGAATCCAATTGGAAAACATTCACCCGACTCCAAACTCACAATAGAGGAATTGAAAAAAATTGTGTTGAAATTTTCAATTTTCAGTCCCAAATTCATGAAATCGATGAAGATAAAAAAAAAAGGGAAGCCTTGGGTATCTTATATCTGAACCACAGAACCACGCCTGCGGCAAGCCGCGTTCATCTCGAGGTTATTTCATTACTGTATTTGCTGTAATGTTGGGTATTTTGATTTGTGGTTGCTTTTGATTTGTCTCCAATGGGGTTAAAATTTGAGGATATGTTAAATTGTGTTTGTGTTGCGAGGTATTAAGGATGCGAATGCATTGAATTTTTTGTTATGTTTTTATGACTTTCTCTTGATGACCATCTTGCACAAGTTCAAATTGGATTGTGAATAATTGGGTTTTCAGATGAGCAATCTGTTAGGAAAATCAATGATTTTCCCAATAATTATTTAGGAGGTTCTATTTAATGGCAAATCCTAAATATTTAGGAAGTTAGGAAAACCAGTGGTTTTTCTATTTAATGACAACATATTTAATTCCATTATATTTAATAAATATGGGCTGATTGAGTAGCTACCAATATTGTTATAAATATATGATTATGGAAACTCTAATTATGTAATATAAAAAGA